CTGAGAGAAAACAGAGTAAACTTTATGGTTATCTACACAATGTATATTTGATAGGAATAAAACACGTCGTCAAATTTTAATTGAAAGGTTTATTATTGACTCTTTCCATAGAAATCAGTGTGTATTTAACAAACTATAAATTTCTTTTTTTTGCTAGTACTTAATTGAAATGCCAAGTTAAATGTCTGAAATCTTAAATACATTTAATAAAGCGGTTGAAAACACTGAACAGTTTTGATATATGGAAAGCACAGAGCACGTCTTTCTCAAAAGCGCGGCGCATCAAATTGTTAAAATCGATCGCATTTCGGAGGGTGGTATTAAAATATTTTAATATTTTACTTAGCTAGTTTTTGATTAAAGTTTTTGTCTTCTGTGTAAAAATAACTTTCCTGTGTATATATTTTTGTAATAAAAATAAGCTTCTGTTTCATAAACTTGGTGCTGATTACAGCTTAACATTATTTACATTAGCCTACCTTTGGGGTCTTGCTATATTCCAATATCATTATGCCTCAATTAGCTAGTTATAGATTAAGAGTTGTTGTTTTAGATGTGTGTTTAATAATTTATGTTGTTAAAATAACATTCTGTTCCATAAATGCATTGTCAGCTGGTTTATTTAGCTACTTTTTAGTACACCACATTAAGAGCGCCACTTAGTAGGCCTACTGTAAGACTTTGAATGTTAAAGTGCAAATTAACACCTGACCACTCTTGTGGGTTTGCTATTGTTACAATTAAAAATCGTAGCAGGGTAAAAACACAACAGGCAGACATTGGTATGATGTAAGCAACACAGCTACAACAAATAAAATCGATAATGTGTATGTGAATAATCAAGCATTGACAATAATCAGTCGTATTGGCGGCACTGAGGGGCCCCCATGTAAAATTCTGCTTAGGGCCCCATAAAGGCTTGGGCCGGCCCTGGGAATATCTGAACATACAAAATATCAAAAGAAAGAACAGGGTAAGCATTTTATTCTAGCTTCATGCATTCTTTTTTATAAACACTTGAATGTGGGTAAGTTTCATAAATAAATAAAAAATAAAGAAAGAAAGATATGAACAACATTTTGCACAAAAAGCTGAAAAAAGACTATTAATTGGATTTAGAATGATAATCAAAATGTAGATGAGTTGATCAACACCCCAAAGCTTGACAATCATTATTACCTCTTCATGGGTCAACATTTTATTCCATAACATTACACAGTTTTGATGCTGTTTTATGTCTGATGATCATCTTAGATTATGTGTGGAAGCATCTGTTGTTTCGGTTTCTTCTTCGCTTGTGTTTTGGCAATTCTGTATAGAAGATGTGTAATAACGCCCCCTACCGTATAACAATGAAAACATTCTCGGAGCACAAGTACAGCTCAAATAAATTTAGACTTTTTCTAAGTATAAGTCAAGTATACTTAAATGTCATTTTAAGTATATTTCTGAGAAGTACAGAAAAAGTAGGCTGAAAGTATACTTTCCTATTTTTTAGTTTAAAAGAAGTATACTATTAGCACACTTGAATAAACTTAGCAAATAAGATATTCACTTGTTGTTAATTAAATTCAGTTGATTAATTTAAATCTAATATTACACTTTTCTAATAATAATTCACTGTAAATATTTGAAAATAATACAATATACTATAAATGCTGTCAGTAGATCAGATTTCAGTGCTTTTTGCAAGCAAATACAAAGTTTCTCAGGGGAATGCAATAGTTTTGCAAGAGAAAGCAGATGTTTTGCAAGTGAATATAGCATTTCTAGGGTGAATGCAATACTTTTGGATTTGACACAAGTGGAGATAAAAACTTTTTTAAAATATACAAATATTGTCTGATTTAATAGTCTGAATGATAAATTGGTGTATCACTAATTTCTTCAAAAATATTTTTGATTTTATATTCTTGTTGAACATAACCACAATTTGATCTTTTGTGTAGGTTTTAACTGAAAATGAGCGTAAAAGTTACATGCAAACTTAACAAAAAATATTGACAAGTAAGGCAAAGACAAAAATTTAAAAGCTAGCATTTTTTTTTACACTCTTTCATCTTCTCAAGTTCACACAGTATGACACTGGACTAAAGGGCCTTCATGAATTCCATCCAAAAGGAACATCCTCAAAACAAAGCTAAATAAAGCTCTATTAAGATCACCCACAAGCTTGTTTAGGTTGTATGTGTGCATTTAAACGTGCCAGCCGGAGGATGTGGGCTCTTCAGCTGAGTCTTGGTGCCTTCCAAAGTTTCTTACGGATCTTACTAAACATCTTTTTGGGAGCATTTGTGGGCATTTTAGGGAGTTTTTCCTTGCTACTGTCAATGCTGTGGGCTTTCCTGCTGGGGATTCTGTATGTACAGATGCTTTGGAATTATTTGTATTGTCAGAATGGTTAAATATAGTTTAAATAAATTTGAATTGAAAATATGGCATAAAATCCCTGAAGTGATTTAGCTGCAGCCACAGAGACTACAGCCGGTGCTCTTCTGCTAATGCTCTCTTCACTATCTGCTTTCCCATTCCTCATTAGCGAATTCTGAAATGTTGGTAATGGAGGCTTAGGGAACATGTCCGTAGTCTGGCTCAATATGGCAATTGGAACAAGCGTCTGTCTCAACATTTTATTCCATAACATTACACAGTTTTGATGCTGTTTTATGTCTGATGATCATCTTAGATTATGTGTGGAAGCATCTGTTGTTTCGGTTTCTTCTTCGCTTGTGTTTTGGCAATTCTGTATAGAAGATGTGTAATAACGCCCCCTACCGTATAACAATGAAAACATTCTCGGAGCACAAGTACAGCTCAAATAAATTTAGACTTTTTCTAAGTATAAGTCAAGTATACTTAAATGTCATTTTAAGTATATTTCTGAGAAGTACAGAAAAAGTAGGCTGAAAGTATACTTTCCTATTTTTTAGTTTAAAAGAAGTATACTATTAGCACACTTGAATAAACTTAGCAAATAAGATATTCACTTGTTGTTAATTAAATTCAGTTGATTAATTTAAATCTAATATTACACTTTTCTAATAATAATTCACTGTAAATATTTGAAAATAATACAATATACTATAAATGCTGTCAGTAGATCAGATTTCAGTGCTTTTTGCAAGCAAATACAAAGTTTCTCAGGGGAATGCAATAGTTTTGCAAGAGAAAGCAGATGTTTTGCAAGTGAATATAGCATTTCTAGGGTGAATGCAATACTTTTGGATTTGACACAAGTGGAGATAAAAACTTTTTTAAAATATACAAATATTGTCTGATTTAATAGTCTGAATGATAAATTGGTGTATCACTAATTTCTTCAAAAATATTTTTGATTTTATATTCTTGTTGAACATAACCACAATTTGATCTTTTGTGTAGGTTTTAACTGAAAATGAGCGTAAAAGTTACATGCAAACTTAACAAAAAATATTGACAAGTAAGGCAAAGACAAAAATTTAAAAGCTAGCATTTTTTTTTACACTCTTTCATCTTCTCAAGTTCACACAGTATGACACTGGACTAAAGGGCCTTCATGAATTCCATCCAAAAGGAACATCCTCAAAACAAAGCTAAATAAAGCTCTATTAAGATCACCCACAAGCTTGTTTAGGTTGTATGTGTGCATTTAAACGTGCCAGCCGGAGGATGTGGGCTCTTCAGCTGAGTCTTGGTGCCTTCCAAAGTTTCTTACGGATCTTACTAAACATCTTTTTGGGAGCATTTGTGGGCATTTTAGGGAGTTTTTCCTTGCTACTGTCAATGCTGTGGGCTTTCCTGCTGGGGATTCTGTATGTACAGATGCTTTGGAATTATTTGTATTGTCAGAATGGTTAAATATAGTTTAAATAAATTTGAATTGAAAATATGGCATAAAATCCCTGAAGTGATTTAGCTGCAGCCACAGAGACTACAGCCGGTGCTCTTCTGCTAATGCTCTCTTCACTATCTGCTTTCCCATTCCTCATTAGCGAATTCTGAAATGTTGGTAATGGAGGCTTAGGGAACATGTCCGTAGTCTGGCTCAATATGGCAATTGGAACAAGCGTCTGTCGGAAAAACAGATGTGATTTGTATGTCTAGCAGTTGTTAAGCGCCTGAAGACCACCAGAAACCAGGTTAGCAGAATTCACAAGCTCAGACAAGTGACTGCAGGCTGAGCCTTAGAGCACAGAGATGTTCCAATCAGTCTTGGTGTTTTTATGTGATTGTCAGCAGGAAGAACTGTTCTTCTTGCCTCCAGGAAACTGGACCAACTTCTGGCCTTACTAAAGTAGTGCAAGAATGAGATCAAAGATAGTTCTTTTAAACTGTAATACTATTTCACATTATTACAGTTTTTACTGTATTTTTGATCAAATAAATGCAGCCTTGGTGACCATAAGAGTAATTAATGTAATTGTAATTAATCCAAACTTATTACCGGTAGTGTATGTGGATTGTTGAATTGTATTTTGAGAAACTTTTCAGCTCTTCCTTTGTTAAAGTGGTCGGCACTACTGCAGTACATTTTGTTATTTTTTTATGACAGCACTCTCAAGTACGTAATGCGGATTGCTCAATATATTTATACATATATTTGTATGATGGCCACTAAACTACATAACTGACTGTTGTCCCAGGCATTTGATTTCCTCTCTAAAACTCTAAAACATGTAAAGAACTTGATTATAATTTTAAGATGTAATAAACTGCAATTTGGCTGCACACTTTAATATTTCAAAGACAACAGAAGTATTTATAAAATTACATATGTACTTGAGTACTAATAAAGTGGGTCAAAAAAGCACTCTAAAGTTCAACTAATTGCATATACATTTAAACCTTAATACATTTTAATTTAATTGTAAATAACATGCAATTAAGTGTCCGAAAACATTAAATTCAGTTCATGCTTCTTTTGTGTTTTTATCGTTCTTAACATTGGTTGTAGAAGATTTGATGTGTCTTCTGATATTGACAGGATGATGTCTTTGAAAACTGAATTGCTCACAACCTTGATCACCTCCTTCACTAATAAGATCAGACTCTCTGCGAAAAGCTCTTTGTGTTCCTCGAGCTAGTACACTGAGAGCTGACGCCCAAATCCCAGTCAGTGGGATTTACAGCTGCAGAAGGACTCACGCAGCAGGTAACTCCAGGGGGATGAATGATACTCTGCCTTCACTTCACTCCATTGCACTGCACGTCCCAGAGGAAAAATGAGAAATCCAAAGCAGAAGTTACATTCTAATTATGTAAACTCCATAATTCAGGTTCTCCAGATCTAATATGAAGACCGCAGTGCAGGAAATTTCCATAACCCAAACCCTTAAAAACAGGGCTACTGAAACCTGCCCCCTGGCTGCTTGTCTGTTTCTCTACCCTGATCATGACTAATGACCTTCAGGCACAGTTTGAGGAGATACTGTAGATCTCAGGAATGGGCAGCAGCAGGCGGCTCCACAGCCCTGCGAGGTGATTTATGTGTTTGTGTCTTTTTACGGCTGAACAGTCAGCCAGTGCTAGACTGGTTTGCAGGAGACCGCCACCAAATCTGGCAGCAGGAACTCACAAACCGATCCCCCAGCAACTTCAAGCAGGTGAACGCTGGAGTAGACGCAGGTGGAGTAGTTTTGAAGTAACACTCTGGGGTGAATTTAAATCGTGCTAATTGCAATATTTTGATAAGCACTGCCATATGATTTTAATCCATCTACAATAACAGAATAGCAGACCTTCTATGTGCATTTGTGTCAGCAGGCTGTGCAGAGTAAGGTGTTATCTGAATTAATCTGTGCTTGTATAGCTGGGAGATTATCCAGTTGACATATCTCTATGTTGATGTTATGTTCGTATAAAAGGCACATGGAGGCTAAACTAGGATACATTTTCTCCCCAATTCAGTTATGTCTCTGTAATCTTGTCCAAATTCCTTGGAGTTTCATATTAATATGAGTTGATAAGAGTAAAGTGACATTTCAAATGGCTAAAAGTTATTAAATTGCACAGTGCAGCTGGATGCAGTGAAGTATTAGTTTTTAAAGTCAACATGAAATGACATTCACAAGCCATTTTGCTTATGTAATCTGACCTTTCTGAGTCAAACGGGATATCATAAAAAATGTAGAGTGAGAGCTGATTTAATGCATTGGGAATTGATTGGATCATGCAAAGTGAAAACAAATTGTAGAGGGGTTTCCGTTGGTTGAACTTTAAGCAGCATTGATTTACGGCATTAGCTGTACTGGAATTGGAAAAAAAAAATTATAATTTAGTTGTGAGATTGAAGTCCAAATTGAGGAAAAAAAGGTGATGTACTGCAAAATAACTGCATTATGTTTGCGGTTTTTTTGCAAACAAATGACTTTTATGAACAAGTTCTTTTAATGAATCATTCAAAAAGACTCTAAAACTTATGAGTTCAGTCTGATTAATCCTTTTCTGAATGAACTCATTAATACAGATCTGTAACTGGATCAACATCTAACTCTTAACACCTAGGATGATAGCTATAACTATCAAGGACGATAACTATAATTAGTTGTAATATTGCTCCAAACTTATAAGAATAGACAAGGCCACACCACAGCAGCACAGAGGAACATTATCATTAAAATCACTTTCACAATGTTTTTTTTTCCAGGTGATGAATGATAAAACCATTGTCAGCCAATCAGAATCCATCCTGTTTTAATCAGCTTAAGTATTAAAGTGGCAGACGACAACTGCAGCACGCTTATAACAAACAGAATGTAATCGAGCGTTGATGTGGATGCTAACATACTTATCTTTCTAGTTATCGTTCTTGGTGTAAACGGGCATTTAAACTAAGTTATTACTCTCAGTGATGTCCGTTTTGACGTCCAATTTTTTTTCCTTTCACACTAACTGTAGTTTTGAACATCTCTGTAGCTTAAATAAGTCCTTAGGTTATTTTCAGTGTCTGTAATTTAGCCATCATTCATTTGTTGCTTTTGGACACTCTATAAAAGATATCACTACTCTATACCCTTTGGGAAAACAGTGGCATGAAATCTAATACATATTCATTCTATTTAAGCTACTGCCTGAGGGATCATTAGACTAATGCTGAACCTCTATGTTGTTTCCCACTCGCTTACACATTATTTCCACTTTGGGAAGAGATCCTGAGGGGACTGGAAGTCAAACTGTGGTCATGGTCCACCTTCTCTATTGGTGTGGTTCTCTGTCAGCTCCAGTAGCTTCTGTCAAAGAATATTACTTCCAGTTGAACGTGATCAACGTTTATTTTCCGGCTGAGAGCATACGCACATCTTATCTGAATTTTAAAGTGCATTTAGAGAGATTTGAGGTGGAGGGGTCGCTCATCTGTGCTGTATTTCAGAACAGTGTTTCAGCGGAAGAAGATAAGCTGACTTTTATGAGCGCCATTGCAGTATTGCAGTATTTGTGTGTGTGCGTGTTTGCTATCTTTACAGACTGCACAGGATAGGTTTCAGACCCAACGTAACGAGATGAATTATGTTTTGGCCTGAGTATGAGGCAGATGAATAGAGGATTGGACTGGCACTTGCAGACTCCGTTTAAAGTGTATATTGCAATGTAAAACCTCCTGCCAAATACACATCAATATGGTGACATGTAATAAAGCTACAGACTCAGGTCAACAAGCTGTTAAGAGGTCCTATTGTTATCTATTGAATTCCACATCTATAACGCGAACCTTGATTAGTCCCTGAGAATTAATTTTTCATGAGTGTGAACATCTCAATGCTTTTGAATATTATGAAACTGAGTGCATTACACCGCTTTTCCATCTAAGCTTTTGCTTTCGGCATAAAAGGTATTTCAGAGAATTCAAAAAAGGTTGATTGAGGTCTGTTTTAAAAAATACTTTATTCTTGAAGACTTTCATTTAATTTCATTTAAACTGATAAAGATACTGTAATTCGATAATAACTTTCATGATAACTTTTGCTTTTGTTTATATATAATTATTTTAACTCAGTTTAAGGACTTACATTTTCACATATGTTAGCCTGCAATGTTTTGTTAAGGTCACACACTCACACTCACACACACACACATACACACGCACGCACGCACGCACACACACACACACACACACACACACACACACTGGATTTGTTAGCTCTTTATTCACAGTAGTGTTTCTAATGCTAAAATACAATTATTGTTGTGATTTAATGGATTCAAATATAGATCGCACAATAGTTTAATCAAAAGCAAGTCTTTGAGAACAACTAGAAACTATTTGTAAGTCAATAACAACAGAGTCTGTGGAAAAGTACATAAAAACAATGCCAGGAAGCCATACAATGACAAAGGTGGCCATACAAAATAAAAATATATAAGTATATATATATAAGTTTTTTTGGTTATAATGTGTGAATAAAGATTATTTAGTTGTTTCAGTTTGTTATTTGCCTAATAAATTACAATAAAATGTTTTGTTTTAAACACATTTTTGACAGATTCCTAAAATATTAGTCTTCTCTCTTTATTATGACAGGCGGTCACTACACACACACACACACACACACACACACATATACACACACATACATATATAGAGTATACATATATATATATATATAAAATAAAAATAAAACACTAAAAAATTAATTCTATCATTTTAGATGCTAAACTGAATTTATGCATCACAACATTATAATTTATGATAAAAATCAATATATATTTTGTGATTTGCTTAATTTTACATTTAACAGTGTTATTAAATTAGTAGAGAATTAACTTAGAGTTAAACTGTCAAATGGGCATGAACAATTAAATATACAATATCGACCAGTACCGAAAAACAAACAAACAAACAAACAAAAAACATAAAAACATCAAATACTGACCGATAATGCGTATGGTACCAATACATTGTGCATCAATACTTTCATTTCCATGAAGTGTATGCTGTTTGATGCCAGTGCAATATACCAGTGCAATGAATTAAACTGATAGTGAGCATGAGTGTACAGCTAAACTGAATTTATGCATCACAACATTACAATTTATGATAAAAATCAATATATATTTTGTGATTTGCTTAATTTTACATTTAACAGTGTTATTAAATTAGTAGAGAATTAACTTAGAGTTAAACTGTCAAATGGGCATGAACAATTAAATATACAATATCGACCAGTACCGAAAAACAAACAAACAAACAAAAAACATAAAAACATCAAATACTGACCGATAATGCGTATGGTACCAATACATTGTGCATCAATACTTTCATTTCCATGAAGTGTATGCTGTTTGATGCCAGTGCAATATACCAGTGCAATGAATTAAACTGATAGTGAGCATGAGTGTACAGCTGGATATAAACAGCATTCCTTTCCAATAGGTGGCTGTCTATTTTCTTTCAACGTCATGATCTGTTCCTGGTTTGTGAAATGCTTTCATTATCGCTCCAGCCCAATTGTCTTATATGTTAAGATCTTGATTTCATATGTCAGCTCTCAGTTACATTAGTAAGTTATGCTGCGGTGAATATTCAAAGAAGCACTTAGCTCATTTAAAGTGGAATGTGAAATAGTCCGTTTCTCGATTCTTTCCTCTTGTGCTCTGATGCTGTGCCAATGTGGATGAAAGCCACTGGTCCCTTTCTGTGTGACCCACATAACCATAAGTGCTTATAAAAGCCTGAGTTTCTCTAAGGAAACATGCTCAGGGTTGACCTCGATGTACCACTTTTTTTTCAAAAACTCCATCTCAGTGTTATCTGGTTCAGGCCAAGTGACTTGATAACTGTAGGTCTTTACAACAGTGAGTGGTTTTTCTTCACAATTTAGCAGTGCTTACTAATGCACACATCACTATTGCTCATATTTAGATACTATTTTTCACACATAAATGAGAATTTTGTCATCATTTACTCATCCTCATGTCATTCTAAACTTGTATGACTTTCATAAACTTTCATCATAGAATTTTTTTTGACTTGGAATCACAATATGGCTTTGTGTGATTATTAAATTTGTAATGAGAAGCGCTTATAAACTGGCTGTTGTCAACAAAAGACTGCAAAAATATTCCACCAAAATATAAGCTTGGTGGTTTTATGATTGAAAAATAAAGAAATTAAGACAGCCAGGATTTTTGTTGTTGTTGTAATTTTACAGTATTATAAAATAAAAATAGTGTTATTATATTTTTCTAAACTACTTTTAGTGTTTTTTAATTTTACAGTGAAATATTACATTTCACTACAGTTTTTCTGAATTGCTAAAACACTAAACACCAATCTCTGAACCAAATTCTCACTAGCTTAAACCAATTTGTCGAATAAAGCACTCTTTCTGCTAAACCTTAAACGCGTTTAGGCAGTTAGGCTCTATTTGCAAATCTCATGCACTCTTTTTGCAAAACTCTAAACACATTCTCATTCACTTAAACACTTATCACACTGTGATGCATTTGTGCTGCAAAATGCTAAACACAAGCGGCAAAAGTTAAACGCAACTAAAGCACAGTTGACATCGTTTACACACGATTCAAAATTGTTCACACTTGTTTCTAATGATGTGATCAAACCAACTGTACAAAATACGAGCCCGTTCAGAGTGCACAAGTGGCACAGGTGACTGAATGATGATTCG